CCCCCCCCCCCCCCCTCTCCTAGAATGGCTGGCTTCGCGGGAGATTCATTTTAATTTGTGACTTCTAGCTGCATGCATCCTCTTTGGTGACACACAATGACAAGATGCATTTGAGATCAATGACTTTGCAGGTCCTTCCACCACCCATCACAAGAGCAGATTTCAACAAAGTGCTTGCACGGCAGAAGCCAACAGTGAGCAAAGCTGATCTTGAGGTGCATGAGAGATTCACAAAGGAGTTTGGAGACGAGGGCTGATGACTTTGATGAAGTGGAAGCAGAGCTTTGATTAATTCATAAATACAAGTAATGCATAGTTTAGTTGAATAATTATCCATCTCTGTTGGCTCATGTTTAGAGACAAGTGTTCCTTTTTGCTCTCCTCAATCACTCAAGGCGATAGTTTGGAAAGAAGAGAGGCTGCAAGGTGAACCAGATTGAATGACTGATCAATGCATGTAATGTTCAATGGTAAATGTATATATACAATATAAGCATTTTTTGCTATCCTCGTCCCCTGATTTTATGTCCTTTTGTTTTATTTTGGAAATCAATATATACATGCACAATCTTCAAAAACAAAACACCCCAGTTGGTTGGTAAAAAGACGAGGATGAAATTTGCCTATGAAATACTGCTAAAGGAGACAAAAACACGACTTTTGATCATGGATTTTGCATGTCCCAGTAAAACTATGGAAAGGTGCTAGGGCGACAACTACTCGATGCATATCTTATTACTTTATATAATGTAACAGCAGAGATTCTTCGGCTTTGAACCATAAAAGAATTTGGAAACATATGCAGCAAAAATCAATGTTAGAGAAGAATATTGATCGATCTTTAATAACAAATTTACCATGGCAAGATGAAGAAATGACTACAGTTCTCCTGTGCACCAAGAATTCAGTGCACAAATTTCACGTGGCTGGCGATTATAATGATCCACCACCAGAAGGGCTGATGCCTCCTCCCTCTCTCTCAGGCCGTTGGTCTTGGTTGACCCCTGCTGTATCTTGGTGGGTTGCTTTTGGCAACATCAACAACAATCATCCAACCATTGATGATCTGCAATTAGGGTTGACAGAATGAAAGTCAGCCTGACTGCTTGGACGGTTAAAATACAAATGAAGAGAAACAAGGACTTGTATGACACCTACCTTGCCATTCATCAGCCCTCCTCTGTCGTGTACTCTATAAATGCATATCTCTTGGACCTCTTAGAAATCTTGTCCATTATTATTTTAACTGTAAGGAATATAATGCCATTATTTCAACTTTCCGGAAACAACAGCAACATAGATGTCAACAAATTACAGAAGGCATGGCATACCTTCGACAAGCTCACCAAAGCCCTCAAAAGCTGTGTGCAAGGTTTTCTCGGAAGTATAAAATGACAGACCTGCTCGGAACACGGATTGCCAAGCACGTGAATCAATCACAAAGCTAGCTAATCAGACAAATGTGTATCATGCAACTTTCATAGGAGGCCAATATTGAGATTTTGCGTGCAAAAAAAACTTGTGCTATCTTGCAGTCAAGTATTTTAGAAGCAAAAGAAAAGAACTGGAGATCATAAGGTCAATAGAATTTGATTTGAAGATGCAACATACCAGTAATAAAAAGTTTCTTTGTTTTTACAGGAGTTATCTGACTTGCTTCTGAAGGATCTGCCGAACTGATAATGTGATCGCCTGGACAATTACGTGTTAACATTACAGAAGAACCATTTGCCATGGAATAAATTTGCAATCACATTAAACTCAAAATATTGACAATGGGCTTTTCTGAAAACTCAAATAAGGGTATCATAACTCAACATCCAGCAGCAAATCCAGATGCTAGTTTCATAAAACTAACAATTGCGTATATTCCACTAGCAATCTTAGTGCTAAAAAAAAGTAACAAACCTCCATAATCCTTGTTTTCTGACTCAACATTCTTATCTGGCTGAACAGATAAAACACCAGGGACACCTAAAAACACAGAAGGGTATGTCATTAAACAGAACACGAAATGCCAAACAAAATTTCAATTCAAAAGGTACAAACTAACCAGCTAGCTCCTGTGCACATTCCTCGTCAAGTTAACAACAGAACTGAAACATGATACGCATTCCTCGTCAAGTTCACAACAGAACCCGAAATTCGATTGCCATGAAACATGATATATACACATTTGAGCATCCTTCTCGCTGCAAAAGAAATCAAATTTTCACTTTCATGGTATATAACAGCAAGTAGATTGCATTCTTTCTCAAACACTAATACCTAGTTTCCCATGACATTGGTTAGTATTTGAGCATGATAATCAACCATTTGTGCCTTTGTAACAACTCCAACTGCTGGCTTATCAATTTTAACCAGCCAATGTTTTGTATTCCCTGCAGGAAACAACAAATTGTTTCCAATTTGTGGATTTGATAATGTACTCAACCTGACACCTAAACAATAATCTTTTTCCGCGGAATTATAATCCGGGTCAGGCCTAACTGATATAACCCCAGGCAACCCTACAACAGACACATCCATAACAATCAGGAAACATCTCAAAATCCACAATTTTTGCGTTAGTATCATAATTCTCAATTCATTGGCGCCAAAAGAGAAAGAAACTTACTGGCAAGTTCAAGGGAAGCATCTTCATCAATATCGCAACAAAACCCAAAACGAGTGTGACAAGAAGAATCATACATACACATTTGAGCATCCTTCTCAGTGTTCAAAACCAATAAAGCAACAAACTTGAGGCCAGAAAAACAACAGATACCAAAATGGATCATCGTTAAAAACACAAACAACCCCCCCCCCCAACCGACCTGCCTATCACTCTCTCTAGAGTCATGAAGTAGTAATCAATGATTTCTGGCTTTGAATTGACACCCTTTGTGGGACTTTCCATTGGAATCATCCAGTGTTTGTTAGTTTTAGTTGAAGTTGGAGTACATGTTGATGTTGTTGTGGCTTTTGTTGATAAAGAAATGCAAGAAATGAACGATGAAGAAGATAAAGAATGGGTTTTTATGTGGTTCTTGTTCTCTATAGGGCTGTAGAGTTTGAAACTTGAAGCTTTAACCGGGAGTTTCTTGGATATGGAGGTGAGACTGGAGATGGATAATGAAGGAGAGAGTGTTTCCATGGCTGTCTCTAAGGTTTCATTACAGACCAGACCAAGCTCAGGCTATTGTTGTTAGCTGTTCAATGTTGTGATAGCAGTAGCAGAATCTATCTGCCTTTGATATTTTTTAGGCGCTTCGAATGAATGATGATCGTTAATGGCCATGTCAAACGACGAGCCTTTCTGCCTTGATGGGTGAGACTTGAGAGAAGTTGATTTGCAGAGTGACTAGTGGTTTCTCTTCGAATGGGCCATTTATTTTAGTAATGGCTATTAAACCTGACTGGTAATGTACCGAACAAGGGCATAATTCAAGCCAGATTTCATTATAAGCTAGTTTGAAAATTGATTTGATGTGGTTATATATATATAACACCGCGATGCATTTTAGTTTTTTAAAAAATATATATAACAAAAATATCATTTTATTTTGAAAAATAAAATGATATCATTTGATTTGTATCATTATAGTTTTTTTTAAATCAAAATAATATCATTTAATTTTAAAAAAACAAAATAATATCATTATGAAGGTACAATCATAAACCATCGTGATAATGATAACTATGGTATTAGAACAGTAATAAATTGTTCCTAGAAAGCATAGTCATGGAGTTCAAAACTTTACTATTGAACCTAACCAATGTTATAATCTCAAGTTTAATTTCCTGTTTTTTTTTAATTTAAAAAATTATTTTTTTATTTTTTCTTTGCTTTAAATTAATATTTTCTAATCATTTTGATAAATTAATATTAAAAATAATTTTTAAAAATAAAAAAATATTTTTTTAATACTTTTATGAAACTCTTAGGATTCGAGAAAAACTTGGTGCTTGAAATCCAGTCCAAGGATGTCCTGACAATTGAAACTAGAATTAAAAAAAGGGATGTCCAAAACTTTCTGTTCCTAGTAATGTCAATGGATAGTTAGGCCTTTGGGTCAGTCTCCATTTAACTGGAGTGCAGAGGTATGCCGTACGCAGATTTGAGATGTTACAGGGATAAGATGAGAAATTTTTGCCAGGAAAGTTTTTAATTTCATTGACAATTAGTTTATTATATATGCAAGAAATGCTTGGACATGTACATGATCTGGCTGTGAAGAATAATAGTTTGGCACTCGGTTAACTTTCACGTAAGAGTGGAGCTTCGATTTCGTCTTCCGGGTCATGGCTCAACTTTTCGTCCGGCTTAAGTAGGCAAGCAAAGCATAAAGCAATCATCTGAGAAAACAAAATAGCTGGTTGTTAGTTGGGAGAAAAGGAGAAAGGGCGATGGAGGGTGAAGTTGTGCAAGGCTTTACCATGCTTACTGAAGCAACTATAATGCTGAAACCTTTGCAGTCGAAAGGGGCAGTGCTAGATAGGAACCATGCTGAAACAAAATTCATCAATGAGCAAGCAAGATGGAATGCTTGTTGTAATAACCGAAGAAAGAATGTTGACATCAGAGACTCACTAGTCAATGGACTCATTGCGAGAGGGGATAAGAAACTTGCTATTGACTGGACACCAGCAACAAATCCCTGTGTTTTTCCCTGCAATAAACCAGTGTACTAGAACATGTAAGCAATGTATATAGGTCATTCACAAATATGCAGACGTTTAAAAGCACTGTCAGAGACTCGTAACGCAAACTCTAGCTTGAGCCCAAAATTAAGAAAGGACGCACTGCAAAGCTGCTTCTGCCAGCATCAAAAGTTGGCAAATTTGCTCGTAGAAATGGAATAAAGGCAGAAGATACTAAAATACTAAATGTTCATGCCAGACTGCGCTAGTTTTGCAAACCTGATTCATTGAGCTTGAACCTTTGGAAATAATAGCATAAGTCTGCACGTCAAGCAATTCAGAACATAAACAACGACAAAATTAAAGTAGTCAGTGATGACCCTTCTTCTCTGATGTTCAGAAGAAAAGAGAGTGAGCATCATATTACTTACAGCAGGCTTCACGAGGATATAAATGGCTCCAAATGAGGCACTCAAGTATGGCACCTACATTAGGCAATAAAAAATGTATAAAGAACTTTGTATACTCGTTTAAATAAAGCGGTTGCCCCAGAGTGGCGAAGTGGTGGTTCAGGATAGAAATTTTTTATTTTTTCAGAAGTGTCATAGGAAATCTAACTTTTAGGAATTGGGCAATAGGTACATACCCAAGATGCCCACGCCAGGCCATAGAGCAACCCCTGTTCAGAGAAAAAGAACCCGTTAGAATTTTCTTTTTATTTCTCAACATGTGCATTGGTTGCTGAGATGGTTGGGAGTGGCAACTTACATAAGCTATTGATGCAAGTAAGGCTAGAGATAATATCCCTCCCTCTCCGACCAATGGATTGAGAAGAGGAAGCACCAAAATCTAGACACCAGACAGAAAACAAACATAAATTAGGCAACAGAATCTCTCAAGTTCATTGAAATTCCATTGAGATCCTATGATGAGCTGAGAACAATGAATAAAGGGTCCACATATAAAGCGGTTGATTTACATGTTTCCAAAGAAAGAGCCCAGCAATTTATATTTATTTAAGCACAGTAATCCCTTTAGGTTAGTAAATGAAACAACAGAAAGATTATCTCCATGTCATACCTGAGAAAAGATTGCACCGATTCCTACCATCGACAGGATTTCCGAATATTGATTCTTGTTAAAACCAAACACTGCCTTCAGATAGAACTGCATAGGTAGGTTACAAGCAATCAGGGGATCTAAATAGAAAGAGAGCAGAGCAGATATGCGCCACCAAAGAACATTACAATTAAGGCCAGTCCTTGTTTTCCAAGGGTTTAATTTCTCTGATAATCAAGATTTAAATAAGGGTAGACATAAAGGGAACTTACGAGTAAAACTGAGCTGATGCCAGACATTCCCAGCTCATAGAAGAAGGAAACAAACGAAATGCCTCTAAGTGTAGGGCTGAAAAAATGAAAGGTAAAAGAATGTTGATTTGCTCAAAAAACAAAAATAATGCAGCAGGACAAAATAAATGAATGTATTTGAAGAGGAGCAAGTACCTCTCAAACACTACAGCTGCAGCATCTCTCATTGATTCATATCTTTTGTGGGCAACATTTATTATCTTAGTCAAGAAGGTTGAATCTCGATCCCTCTTTGGAACCTGTTCAACCGTCTCAGCTAGAAGAAAATGCATATAAACTGGACTAAAGATCAAGAAAGCAATTGAAACCTGAAACAAAAGGCTTAATTTTATCAAATGATGATTGCAGATGATTTCTAGAGTACAAAATAAAAAAAAATCAAAAAAAATCAGCATATGAGTATGAAAAAACCATGCTGCTAGCTAGTTTGAAAATCTCACAGAACCTACTTACCACAAAAATATATTGCTCAGGAAGAAAACGTGCCAGAAGATTGCCTAAGACATGAGAAGCAGAAAAGAAACCAGTGATCCAACTAAATGCTGCAGCTCTGTTTCCTTCTTCGATAATATCTGCCTGCCAAAGGGATGAAACTGTGATGCCCCAATATCCTTAACCATGACACGATTCTTTTATTATTTTTTTGGTTGAAAACTCTTACCGCATAAGCAACAGCAATGCAGAAAATACTTCCTTGACTTATAATAAATGAAATTGTCCGAAGCACATAGTACACATACACAGATCCCCTCGATTGGTTCCAGGCAAGCACAGCTGAAACAATAGAAAAGGAAAATAGAAAATAAAATTAAAAAATCAGCAGAATAATCATGGTTGCAGTGTGCCCGTGTTAACCTTCAAATAAGTTAGACTGTGTGTTGCTTCGCTGCATATATCCATAACAATGAATTCAGTATTCTAAGTAGAATATACAAGCCTTCCATAAATCCTAGTTTCTGATCAGAAATGCTCATCTGGAACATACCAAAAGGGAATATGGATGTTGATACAGTAATGAGGAGAAGCGGTTTGCGCCCATATTCATCAGCAAGCTGGCCTAGGAATGGTAATACCACCATCTTGAAAATTCCAACCACCTACAAGCAGAAGGAATCATCTCTTGCTTGAAGAATTTTAATCCTGTTTTGTAATCAATCAGTTTTGAGTGCTGGGTTAAACATGAAAACCACACACTGCAAATTTCTTCACCTGAATTCTAATTACCCTATTTAGCATTACTGAAACACAAAATCATGATCACCCTCAAATGTGAACCCAGGCATGCCTTAATTGGCTCAAAAGATTCACATGGGAAGTGCAGATCAAATAATAGAAAACAATGAATATCTGACTCGATTGTTGGGGAAAAAAAGGGTAAATCCCAAAATTCTAGAATGATCCTGCCTACAACCTAGTATCCATACATGAGGAATACATTCCCTTCCTCTCAAACCTTTGTTTTTTTTTTCCAATAAATGAAAACCGAGAAAACGGCATTTCCCACAAACCCAATTAGCAAAACTTCTTAAATTATAAAAATTAGTGCTTAATCAGCTCCAAGCCGTAAAACATATAAAAGAACCACAAAATTCCAAAAACCCTATTTCCGTTCTTTCATTTTTTCGCAAACCAAGCAAACAATAGTAAAAATACAATAAGCAGAGCAAGCATTTCTTATGTTTACCGTTTGTTGGAGACCACTGATGTAAATAGCCTCGGAGCATTTAGTCTGACCAGGACACAAAGCAGAAGTAACAACATCGACAAGAACAGAAACAGTCATTTCCTCGGCGATCCAATGAAAACATAGTGGCAACAGCAAGTGTGCTAAAGGCCTAAGCTCTTTCAGCCCGCCAACACAGTCCTTAAACATCATAACTAATATCTCCAAGAATTGAGCACTGGCTTTTTCTTGCAAGAAACAAAAGAAATTAACCCTGACAAAGATGGTGACAAAAAGGGATACAAGATGAAAATGATAGTTTTGACACGGCCATGATAAGGGTTTTCCTTTCAGCAGTATTTAAAGGGTGACAAAACCCATTAAGTTCAAGTCTCTGACTGAGATCGTGTTGTCCGGCTAGTTGTTCATCAAAGATATATTAAAATGAGATCTTTTATCTTTGTTTTTTTACATCAACATATTATAATTATAAAAAACACTAAAAACAATAGTTTAATGTTGTTTGAAATTAAGAAAAGTTAAAAATTAAGATTAAAAACTGAAATAAAAGCACTCTCAAACACACTTGTGCTAGCAACATGAATTCACGTGCTGGGTTAAGTTTGTCGTGTGTCAGTGGTCGAGTTTGCCTGTGGATGTCTGGATGATGATTGAGTACAGAGTACTTGTGATAAGACGGCCATGGATCAGCCCATCTGGCCGCTACTAGGCATCATTGTAATTAAGAATGGATGATGGATAATCTGCAAACGACGTAACACTACCCAACTACCTGGCCCAACACCGATCATTGCCAATAACTACACAGCGGTGGTGGGCCCCATTGGAGATTGAAATCCTTACATGTTTTCAGATTGGGATCGAGATCCTCAACTTCGGGATTTTAAACGTGGTAAATTATTTTGTCGACCTCTTATTGAATTTGAATAACATTGCATGATAAAAAATCAAAATAGAGTTAGGCCGAACTGCGGTGAATATTATTTTTTAAAAGTATTTTTATTTAAAAATATTTTCAAATAATATTTTAAAAATTAATAAATAAAAATAATCTTGAAATAAATAAATAAAAAACATTAATTAAAAATAAACGCAACTCAAAACAGAATTTTTTTCAGAAGATTAATAAAGAGACGTGGTTAGATAAATTCAACTTAAGATTTGGATTACAACAAAAAAAAAAAGAGAAGTAATGGGAAGATCTTATCATTTGTTTTCTCTTTCATCCCTTTTCTTCTTCTTAGAGTCATCATTAAGCATTTATGTATTGACCACTATAGGAAAAAGAAAAGAATATGCTTCCTAAGGTAAACATTTGGGTATAGTCTTTTTGGTGATGATTTGTTTTGACATGGATGGTTTTATGATGCAGTGACATTTTTATGTGATGAGATGTGCTCGAAAAGGATATCAATGAACCCATGGTTCTAGATAGGTTCTTGGTCTAGAAAGTTGATATATTTTAGATAATTTTTTAAAATAATTTTTTTTATAATTTTTTATATTAATATATTAAAATCATTAGAAATCACTAAAAAAAATATTAATTTAACATCTTTTCAAATCAAAATGATTTTTAAAAAAATCTAAAAATAAAAAGAAATTTTACAAGGTAAACTTTAAAAAATTGTTTGTTCAAGGATTTATTTAACATTTTTATGTTATCATTTTATATATAATGATGATTTCACCAAGGATTAGCATAACTTGGCTTAGTTTGTTTAGGATTTTTTATCTAATTGAAGTCAAAACCGATCTAGTAAAAATTGATTTGTTTGTTTTTTTTAGATTAACTGGATGTTTGAGCCAGTTTGCGTGCACCACGACTAATTTTACGGGTCCTGAAATTAACGACTATGTAATCCTTCAGTGACCATCATATAAGCAATTAAGAATTCAAACCTGAGACCACAAAGAGAAAAAATCCCTTGATCTTAAGCAATTATTATTTAACCACTACCTAAATAGTTAAAATTGATTTGGTTTTATTTGGATCGGATGTGAATGAAAAGTTTAACCACCCCGGTATTCTTGCCATATGTATATAATTGTTATAGATCCTATAAAACAAATCTAATAATCTCATCTCCACGATGAATATCTAGCAGGTGAATAAGACTTCTTACCGAACCTAACTACATGCGAGTCGTGTACAAATGATGTTATGGGTATGATAAACAGGGCACTGAACCATTATCATCCCTATTTATAACGAGTTTAAGGAACAACCCTTTTTGGTGGACACATAAAAATAGACAAGAAATGACGCGAAGATACTAAGCCATTAAACACAGGAAAGATTGTCTTTTAGAACATTCATCATTATGGCTCCAGCTGCCATGACGATGTATATATGTGTTGCCTCAAGGTGAAAAGTCTGCTCCAACCTCACTTTTTTTCGCAGCTTGTTAAAAGGTGTTTGAAAATGGTTGATTTTTAAATGTTTTTGTTTTAAAATATATTAAAATAATATTTTTTTAATTTATAAAAATTATTTTTAATATTTGTATAACGATCAATCTAAATCTTTATCTTTATAGTAGCTTATAATTTTTCTATACCGATCTGGACATCACAAAGCTCTGTCTCAATTGTAATTTGTTAAATAATATTTATATAATTTTATTTATTAAAAATAAAATATTATTTTTAGTTTAACCTATATATATTTTTATTAAAACTAAATATTTATAATATATAAATTATTCAGAATTGAAGTATTTTTTCATGCGTCACCTTAATTATTTTAACATAATCACTGAACATGAAAAATGATGTTTTTCAACCAATTGAGTTCATGGCCCTCGTAGCAATTCCATCCAAACCCAGTAATTTAAAAATCCATATCCAGTCATATTCAAAATGGGTGCGGGTTTGTACATGGATAATAGCTAAACTGACCATAAATATCAACTGCCATCCCTAAGCCGGACTCAAGAAACAGTTGACTATGCCAGCATGACCACCACGGGTAGAAAACCACGGCAAGGCAATTCAACCATCCGTCAACTGCTACCCCAATCCATGCAGTGAAGTTTATCAATGTCATTGGTAGTGGAAGATTGAGAGAATAAGAGTAGAAATACAGAAACTTCTTTTACAACGTCCCAAGATAACAAAATTAAATGACAGAAAAACCGATTTTCCGCAAGTAATACAGTGTTCATACAGCTCTACATTCTTACTCTTGCACTGCAATTATATTTATTTTACATGAAAATATAACATATGCTCTACCGATATCAAGTTCATTTGAACCCATGAACTTTATTTGCTCCTGTACAGAGAGGTATACTGGAAGCAGGGAAGTACTGTTCTTTTAGGGTCCACTATACATCAGGACATGTTATGTGAAAACGGGAAAAAAGGACTTTGACTACTCTATCTGGCTTGCCAGTGCTGCGTCCTCATCTCCAGCATCCAATTCTTGTTCCACACCTTTCACCTGAATGCAGAAGATTTTCATGAGTTTAATTGACAGAAATGCATGGGAAGAGAAAAGAGTTGAATCCCACTCGCAAGTTTACCAACTATTAATAGCCAGGGAAACAAAAGATGATGTCAAGCAAAATGATGGGCTATGTAAAGCGTTAAAGCAATGGCACTAGCAACAGTGAGACATATATGGTAACACAAAACTTATCGAGCAAGGAAGCTAGAAGTTTGGAAGCACACAATTCAAGAGGAGATGCGGAAATGTGTACCCATATTTTCCTATACAGAGAGAGATGGACTGAAACAATAGAAACCACTTTGCAGATGGTCTAGTTTTTCTCATTATTTCTATGGCCAATTAATCCCTTCAACACGATTTCTTTCTAAACATCATCGTTCTTTCTTTCTAAATGCATGTTAACACTCTCATCTTTCTAATTTCTTTAAAAAAAAATGTTAATCACTAGTCATAATGCACTTCAGAACATAATAATCTATTCAAACAGTAGCACAAACTAGATTTGTGTACTTAACACAGGAGGGACATAGTTAGGAAGCTGCACCCCTGGGTATCTTCAAGAACTAGCCACGAATCAATTAATGCCATAATTTATCTCCATTATCCCAAAGCTTTGTAATCAGGTTTTAATGCTTTCACCAAATGAGCATTTGCCTGGTAAGTTCTATAACTTATGAATATATGCAGAGCTTGTCATGGCATTAGTTTTCATTGGTTTCATTCTTTAGTTCTGTTCATACATGCTTAAGTTAATACATAGCAAACTCACAGGCACGCAAATTACAAACACACATTCCACCCTTAAAAAGTGAAATCAACTTAGGAATGCACACCACGTTTTGAACTTTACCGCAGAGCCTGATAAGAGTTCAAACAAAAACTGTGATTTTACATCACTTGGAAATCTCAAACATGATTTTCACTTGTTACCTCTGGTACATAATGCATCAGCATATTCTCTATTCCAGATTTCAAAGTGATGGAAGAGCTCGGGCAGCCACTGCATGCTCCTTGCATTGTCAATTTGACTATCCCAGTTTCCCTAAAGAGAGAAAAAATACAAATTTCAATTAATTATAAGAAACAACGTGGATTGTTCATTCAATACGCTGTGAACATGTTTAACCATGAGAAGAAAAACCTACTCATCAAAACCCCGATACTCAATATCTCCACCATCATCCTGCACTGCTGGTCGAATACGAGTCTCCAACAGCTCTTTAATCATTGTCACAGTTTCTGAGTCGTCCTGTATTGGCAAGCATTAATATTTTCATATTGAGTGCTTAATGCTCTATTTAAATTAGTTAAGATCATTAGAGAATAAACAATGAAATCCTCCAAAATCCCAGCTATTTTCAAGTGAAAAAAGATCATTAGAGAATAAACAATGAAATCCTCCAAAATCCCAGCTATTTTCAAGTGAAAACATAAACTATATTCAGCTATTTTACAGAAATCTACTACAGCAGAAATCTATTGAACTTCATACCAGATACATAGAAAATGGATGAAAGCACTATTCAATTGCTCATGAAATAAATATTTGGCATATGGGTACTGAAAAACTGCATAACATGCTACATCCATGTTGATTAAATATCTTATTCCAAACATTTGGATTTTCTCAGCACAACTATGAACCAGCACCACCACTGAGCTAAACTCGTGAAAAAGGGAAACTGAGAGGGGGAATTAGAAAGAGAACATAGTTATACCTTGCTATAAGTTCATGCCCAAGGGAAACTTTCTGTAGGAACCTAAACTTGGATTTTTCCACATAAGTACATAACAAGGACCACCCAATGTGAAATGCAAGCTTAAATAACAAAGATGTGAAAAAGCATATTACGAACAAGCAAGCTTCATTTGTGTGGACTGCTGGAAAATCAGTACACTAAAGATATACCTCGCTAATAGCCGTGTCCTTCGCTGCAGCAGTTTTTGAGTCTAGAAACAAAGGTTCTCCAGAAGAATAAAAGTCCGTGATTGCTGCAAATATCTCAGGTTCTAGGAACTCCCAAGAAGCATCATCTGACTTTGTTACGGTGACAAAATCAGATCCAAAGAAAACTCGAGTGATACCTATGGAAAAACAACACAGGATACAGATTAAAAAATTATAAACAATTGTAGCATAAGGTTAGCCTAAGAACAAAACCAATTCTATCTTACCATCAATTTGGTAAATAGATTTCGCCATCGGAGAATTCATAGCTGAACGAGCATTTGGGAAATCCACACTCCCTACATACATAATTGGCTTCCCAGGATGAAACATAAGGGATAATGGATTCGGTGTGGACTGGGTTTGTATAAACATTGTCCTCCTCTGCGCTGCACCGACCATCACAACTAAGCTTAATTAACTCCACTGAGTCTTTAATTACAAGGCCAGAAAAAAGCATTGTGACCTCTAGAATTCATAACTTTACAGCATATCCCATGACCCTCGGATAAATTCTGTAGCATCCGATTTTACTTATCTTAAAACAAAAGACCCTTTACATGTCTTAAAACAACAACTAACATAGAACATAAAAATTCAAACCGCAAGGTAGAAATAACAAAAAGTAACAATAATTTCAATCAAAACAGACCAACCTGTCAAAAGGGTCCATTTCTGTGGATGCAAAGAAGACTTCAACGTCTTGCAATCAGAGAAAGCACCACCACGGTTGTGCAAGAACGGTGCCATTGCTGATGAAACATGTATAAAACGGCAAGGTGTTAATCGAAACGTAGTATTGATTTCTCTGCAAAGTTCGAATCTTTTTTGGTTTAACAAAGCTCGCGATATTAACCTGCCAAAACCCTTCATTGTTTTTCTCTTCTTGTGCAGCTTTGAATGGGAAATCGCTGCAGAGAGATGCAAAGCTTCGAGCCTTTTAATGGTTGCGGTGTTATTGTAATTAAGAGGATAAATGAGGGTAGATAAATTGAAATTGGGCAACGGATCGGCACCTCTGGCGGCAGGGAGTTGGGTGGTTGTGGACCGTTGAATTTAAGAGATCCTAACTGGAAATTTGGAAGTGCGCTTTGATCCTTGTGTTTTGTGAAGTCTACTACATCTTTAGTCCTTGTCTATTAGTGCACCAAGGCTAATTCCAGCTAAATATCTCTTAGACCGTGTTTGCTGAAAATTAATTTATTTTTTAAATGTTGTTTTTAAAAAAGAAATTTTAAAAAATTAATTTATTTTTTGATATTTGATGATATATAAAAATTAAATTAAAAAATATTTTTTAATATTTAACTATATCAGGAAAAGTAAATTGAAAATAATTTATTAATGTTTTATTTTTTAAAATTTATTAAAAAATAAAGATTAAATCTGATAAATAAAAACGTTAAATAACAATTAATTTTAAAAAAATTATAAATTATTTTAAATAAAATAAAAAATAATCGAGATATAAGACCAAATCTTATATGTAAAAGAATTTCAATTTATAAATGAACAAGAGAAAAATAAATAATTACTAGGAAAACAAAGAGTAAATATTTTGTAAAAATTAAATTAAATCAAATTTTAATAAATAAAATAAAAAATATATTCAAAAATATTTATAGCAATAAAATATTCAAAGATCAAATTTAATATAATTAATAAATAATAATTTTTTTTTTATTTTTTCTTCACTTTTAAAAGTATATTCAGTACAAGATAAAAAAAATATTTTTTAAAAAATCAAGATAAATTTTCATTTAATTAAAAAATATTCTTCATCAATCAACTTTCATGAAAAAACAAATACAAAAAAAAAGTAATTTTCATAAAACTAACAGATATTTAATCACCAAATCATGCTAAATTGTCATTTTATCCCGTGTTATTAAACCACGAAGAGCAGCAAAGAATAAAATGATAATAATTTTAAAGATAATTTTATCTATTGTTTTAAAATCACATTAAACACGTATCTAAACAAGATAATAAAGGATTGTATGATATTTTTATTATGAAATATGAAACGTGTTTATCGTTTTTATGCAATGAGAACTTGAATATTATTTTTTTTGGATTTCCTTGATATAAAATTAAAATAAATATGATGGAGTAGGATAACAGCTTTTAAAAAGTTTTCCAGCCCGGCATATCGATTAACGAACAAATCTTTAATTGTTTGGATTATTGGATAATTTTTGATATTTTAAAGCTTTTTATTGTATATTTGAGCAAACCTCAAGTATCCCTAAGTTATTGTCATAGTATTAATTTTATATTCAAATTATTTTTTATATTAATTTCTTTTAAATTATTTTAATCTTTGAATAAAGATTTATGTCATATTCCTAAGTTATTTTCATAGTCTTAATTCTATACCCGGAATATCTTTATATTAATTTTATCCTTGAACTATTCTCATCTTTGAATAAAGATTTATGCTAAAATCGTTTACTTGTAAAATAAATAAGAAAATTGAGCATAACGGGAAGTAATAATTAAATATAAATAAACAAGTGAAAATATGTAAGCGCACGCAACGTGCCATTATCTATACGGATATTTAGGCGCAGCCTGGAATTACATTGAGCTTTTTAAATATTATTTTTTTTTATATTTTTAAATTTTTTTTAACTTATAATAAAAAAAATTAAAATAAATTTTTGATAAATTTTTAAATAAAAAAATATTTTAAAGTTAATACCCTCATAAGAGCCACGTGTGACACAGAATATAACATCGCTTGCACTGAAAGAACACGCGCCAGCCCGCCATCGTCAAACCCTATCGTCTCTCCTTCTCTCCCTCTCGGTAGAAAATTCTTTGAAAAACAAAATCACCAAATCACAAGCCCTAGCCTAAATCCACATGAAAACAATCGCCCCCCCCTAACAAACCCTGATTTGATGACTATAACAATCCAATCGCACAAATCCTGACAATCATTCCTTCTCTTTTGTTTCCTCTCTGTTCAGGCCTATCTGCTGTGGTCATGGAGGGCTCTGTGGTGGCGGTGGAGGATCTCGGAGCCCCCGATTCATGGGAGGTGGCTGATCTAGACCAGACGATGAATTGTTTGTCTCTGAATAAAGAGACTAAGCATCAACAGGCTAAAGATCAGCTCCCTCGCTCGGGTTCCGGTCCGGGTTCTTTGGGTCCGGGTGAGAAAGTAACGTATGATGTTGCTAATCAAGTCGATCAGTTTCTCCTCGAGGCCTTGCAGAACACTCGCGAACGCCTCTCAAGTGAGTTTTTTAATTATTTAATTTGTTTATTTGTGTGAATTTAGCTGAATAAGGTTTTCGTAGTATGCGGGGTGGTGTTGATTTTGCTGAAGATTTTGTGTTTGTGTTTTTCATTGGGTTGTAAACGTGCTTAGCGTGTCAGGTTCAGTTATTGTGCGGGGATTGAGGATTGACCTTTGAAGAAAGTGACGATTCTAGATGTATGGTGATGGTGAGAATATAGGAGTAGGAAATTGTTCTATTAGAAACTTTTAGGGAGTGTTGTGTTTAAGGGAATTTTCTGGTGGTTTTTGTTTGATTGCACGAGAGGCAGACTTAGGTGGGTGATTTTCTTAATAATTAACTAGATGGAGTTCTGGTAGATCTACAGAGTGCATTCTTTTCGTTGGATTTATTTTTTGGCAGGGGCGGGGCTGGGATAGGCTAGGGTTATGAATAGAATATTAGGCTGGTTTCAACCCAGATTCTTGAAGAATTTAGGGGTTACAATTTCCTAGTGAAATTAGGTTCGACAAGGGATTTTTTTTAAAGATGCAGTTGTTAATGATTGTAATATAATTAAAACGATCTTTTGAGTTCCTAGCTTCTCTTTATGCAAAAGTCAATGTTATGAGAGCAGAAGGATGGCCTGCTGGTTGTCTTTATTCACATCATTTCTGTCCTTCTAAGTAGTTTTGAGCATCCCTTGTACCCTTTTCTCTTCATCCGAGTAAAGACATGTAATCTCTGTTTTTTAGTTTTGCGGATGGAACAAGACATAGAGAAGTTTATCCGTGATCCAAACCAACAACAACTAGAGTTTCAACAGTTGCCTACTTCATATTTAAGGCTGGCAGCACATCGTGTAGCACAGCATTACTCACTGCAATCAATGGTTTTGTTAGACAATAGTTTACCTGATGGCTCTGGCTCCAGAATTATTGTCTGCAAGACTTCCAACTGCAGGCTTCCCTTGATTCGCCTGGCTGACATCCCTGTGAGTTTGCCATCAGAAGATGGTGATACTGTTAAGGTTGCAATTAAACAGAGGCCACAAAAAGGGTCTCACACTGCCAACAATTCAAATTCATTGAAGAAAAATAATTCCAAAAGCGTGGAGGAAAGAAAAGAGGAGTACAACAAGGCACGTGAACGGATATTTAACTCTAGTAGTTCCACTGTTGGTACTATTGGGAAACCGGACAGTGAACCAAGGTCGCAGGATTGTTCCCAGAATGGTACATTTGGTATATCAAAGTCAGAAGATAAATCTGCTCCAGGTATTCCTGATTTAAGTTCTGGACAGGGTTTAATTGAATCTTCCTCAAGTAACAGTAGATCAGCAACATTAGCTAGAACAAGAATCGAGAAGGAGCCAGTTGGTAGGTATAGACCAAACAATAGGGTAGCCATATTTCGGGACCGTGAGGTTGATCGGAAGGACCCCGACTATGATCGAAGCTATGACAGGTATTTTGTTCATGCTTTTCTTTTGCAATCTTTCCCTTAGCATGTGCTTTATTTGGCAGGGATAGGTTGCCAACTTCTATACGAATCCTCTCAGTGTGGCTTTCTTTTCTTCTGGTGATGAATAATGTCTATTTCCTCATCCTATCACGTTGTTTGATTGAGCCAACCTGATTGCTTCCTATTGGTACCTAATCAATTAAATTTACCAACCAAACATGTATTTACAAGCACACACATCCTGCTGTCCATTAAACTAACTTACATGATATCTTGTGGTCTTTTCTTTATCATTCACTTATGTTTTACATCTTTGTACAAAGCTGTCCTATTGATCAATCACACACTACAAGAGTTCATGCATGATATGTTTACATATTCATTTACATGTGTAGTGACCGATACTCAAAATTAACCTATGAAAGATACAAAACTTCAAGTTAGGACTCCAAAACAATTCGGTTGGTAGCCTATCACCCGAGCCCTCTTTCAATCTACCTTGATTCTCTGAAAATAATTTATCAACTACTAAGGAGATAACCCAGTGAATGATTAAAGAAATAAGCATGGGAAATTTATTAAGTTTTCAACATATATGCCCAACATTATATTGACATAATATTTTCACAAGTAAATGTGTATGACAATTGAATGTCCATATCTCGTATCCATATACTACCCAATGGTAGCATCTCATGTGAAGTAAACTTTACTCTTTTCAGATATCATGTGCAATTATATCAACACAATATTGTGGCTAAAACACATCTTTTACTTTAAAAGAACACATTATACTTCAATCTTTCATAACCATACTCTTATTTAGCAACTATTCAAAACTTAGGTCACACACACACACACACATATATATTCAGCAACCATTTTAAAAAAAAAATCTCCATACATAAAAATATCCAAAGCAATAGGATTTATACATACTTATTAATTTAATCGCTCACCTTAAGCTTTAGCCCTTATTCCCTGACTTTTTCCTTCACTTACTTTTCTTTCTGTTCCTTTCCTTTATATCTCACAATCTATCCTTGGTTTTCTTTCTAACAACTCTATTGAATTTAAGCCTTAATACTTTACAATTTGTTCTAGGAAGATATGGTTTGGTAGTGTTAGTTTGTAAGGTGGGGTTTAGCTCTCTCTTATGTTAAGAAGTGGGGGAAAAAAAGATGTGTTTAATTCTGAAAATTCTGACAGAAAGCACCTCTCTACCTTCGTTTTGACACCTCATAAGTGTGAAGTGCCAAAACTTGTCCTCCTACTACTTAATCATGCAAAAGTTATCCTACTTCACCTGGTTAAATTAGTAATTGCATTTTAACCCTTCTTTCCTTTAGTTATTTGGCTTTTGTCCTGTAATTTTCTCTAATCTTACATAATTTTAAGGAAATCATCAATTATAGTTAAAAGCAAATTTTAGGGTGTTACAGTAAAACAATGCTGTAAATTGTTTCTGAGATTCAATTGCATTTTGGCTTCTCAAGATTTTTTAGGATGGCATGTCTTCACTGATTTTGGCTTTATAACTTCTCTGGCAAGTTGAATTCTCTCCTTTTCCATGTTAACATGTTCAATGTCTGTCCTTTTGATTTGAATTTCATGATTTGCAATGCTATGATAGAATTAGTGGCTCATGGCCCATGAAAACGAGGACTAGCTTTTGATGGAACCAAAATTGTCTTCCAATAGTGATACTGTATATGAGAGAAAGGAATACCTAAAAACATGTATATGTAGTGTGAAGTATGATTATTTTCAAGTCAATAATTCGAGTACCCACCTGTTGAAGATTGCAAATTACTTCATCTAGTCTGGATCTGGAAATTAATTTCTCATGCTTGTGATGTTAATTACCTCACAACATCAATGAGCTTGATATATTTTTGTTTAATAGAGAGAATTTACAATTAAATGTTCTTCCAGGTACATGCAAAGATTTGACCCTGGTTTTGGGTTCAATGGGGGAGGACCGTACACTATCCAGCCCATGTACACTCCTGCATTAAATTACAACACTGAATTTCCACAACTTGGGTCCCGTCACATTTCTCAAATATCTACAGAACACCAACCTCACCATCTCCCTCAACATGTACCAGGGCCCTGGGCCGCACCATCAACCCCTGCAGGGATTGGGTATGGTCATCCTGATACTCTTATACCTCTGTTTAATCCAAATCATGTTGGTGCACGCTCCACACCTGCCATTTATCTGCATTCCTCGCAGTATCCATGTCAACACCCGGGAATGCCTTTCATCCATCCTCATGAACATGTTCAGCCTTTTTCACAGGTATGGCAATTAGAATGGCTCTATTTTCCTAGTATTAGTTGAAAAATCTCTTCTTTTTGAAATGAAAGGGGCCTTTTGGTACAATAGTAAGGTGAATATTTTCAGTTTCCCTAGTTTTTGTGAGATATTTCTGTAGTTCGATGACCCTACATTTAATATTCTACTCATTAATCATATTTGCAATCACATGTGATCTTTCTTGTCATGTCTGTTTGACCAAAGGTGTCTAGCACATCCTATGCAGTGTCCAAAATATCCCCTCTTCCTTCCCTAAAGAAAAGAATGAAATGGGGGAAAGTTTGGATTATCACCATGAATGAACCCAGCTGTTTGATGATGATAAATTTCTCCCTTTAGTAAATTTGGTTTAGTGACTTGCACTCGATGTGATTATTACTGCTTCTGTTCACAAATGTTGGCTTTTGTTTATGGAATCAATTTTTTTTCATCTCTGTGCATGTACAATCTTATCAACAGCAACCTGATGCAAGTTTTGGTTTAGCTCGGCCCCGTTGAGGGGCTTGGGCCATGCCTGCACCCTGCCAGCTGGAACTTAGGCATGAAATATTGATGAGCTGATTCACTCTGAATCATATACGAACTGGCAGGAGTGCAGGCATAGAGAACCGAGTTGGATTGGAGTGGACACTTTTTCTCATGAGCAGACGCTGATCCATTCCACCAATCTTGGTTTTGCTTGAGGCTTCTTCATGTGGTGAAAGACGAAGAAGCTCAAGGGCTTGGCAGATGAATGTACAAGAGCTCTGTTTTGTCACTGATGATGATGAAAAAGAATCGTCAGAGTTGGGTATGTGTGTTCTCAGTCTAATTGAAGGTACATCCCTTTTGTGACTCTGCTCTTCTTGTTATTTAACTCTTGCTTTCAATCCTGGCTTTGTCTTTTGTTACAAGATAAATTAATTCTCCCCATCTCTTGGAATAATTTTTGTTATGCCCACTGATCATGGGATAGATACTGAACGACCATTGAGGCAGCTGTTCATCAGTTGCGATTGACCTGGTTTGGTAGGTTGATTGGTGACCTAGTGCATTTCATATCTTGGTGGGCATTAATCTGCTTAAACTTGGGGGCACTTATTTATCAACAACTCGATTGGATGATTGAATGAAATATGGTCAGATCAACTTGGATTTTTTGTTTTTACTTGAGGACCCGTTGGGGGTCTAACATTGATGATGAACTTTATCTTTGATTGGGGGCAATAGGGAGTATTTCATCAGTACTTGAATATAATTGAAATGTGTGGACTGTCAGGATTGCAAACGCAGGGGGGGCGACTGCCGGACAACCACAATCGTAACTGGTACATGTCTCATCTTCCCCTGGGAGCTCTGCCGTTTAAGCCTTAAAATATGTAAACAGGATAGAGCATCACTGGTTTATTTCTTCTGTGAACAAAGAGACTAAAGGGTCAGTGTTTGGATACACGAGGTATGAATGATTGGACCAAAAAGAGCATGATGTCTATGAAACTCTACAGATAATGGCTTCACTCTGCCAGCGCGCTGTCACATGAAAATCAAAACCTTTCCCTTCCTCCTTCAGGTGCCTCCCGGTCTCACCGTTGTTGCCCCCGCGTTATTCTCTCCGTAATAATTAATCACCTTTTCTCATCCTCTTCCGCAAGCATCTCTGCATTTTCTCACGCATCGAGATTAAGTTATATTTTAATATCAAATAACACATTTTCAAGAACTTTACATTTGTTTTTAATGACTTTTAAAAATGCCCTTTTGTTTGGACTAAAATGACCTCAGTTTAATGATCTTTTGAATGGGTTTTATTTCCAAAATTATCCACATTGGTTTAATGTTTTTTTGGTGGTTTTGAGTAATTTTCATCAAAACATACTAACCTTTCTTATACACAAATGTTGCTTCCACTAGCACACAAAAGTTGCTTTTACGTGCATAATGCTTACTAGTCTGTACTTTTTACGCGCGTCGCTCCTCACAAAATCCACAGGACCCTCGTTGTTTTGAATATGCCAGTGAAGATCCCATGAATTATAGACGCGGTTAAAGATACACGTACAATCAAGTTATTCTACACGGAAAAGGCAGACGTGAGGGCGTTGCAGATGGGATGTCTGCTGTTTTCGGTGAACCATGTTGCCTTCAAGACCATTGTTTTGTCTTTTGTAAGCCGTGGCATGTGGGCGTGCGGGCGTGCGTGCGTGCGTGTATACACCTCTCGAAGTATACGTACCATTTTCTCCCTCTCAACTCTCTTTGTATGCTCTTCTTCTGTAGTTCTTTTCCTATCAAGGCATACACGGGTAGGTTTTTCAATCTCAGTTCTACATGCATAAATTAAATTCCCAATTCCATGTCTCCTAACAATTCGTATTTAGCTAGCTACCATCTTTGCTAATAATCCGTGATTTGGGATATTTTCAGGGGGTAATGGCAACAGTTCAAGATGGAAAAGCTTAACTCACAGCTATACTTGCAGAACTGTTATATAATCCAATAGAATGTGATGCCAAGGAAGAGCTCATTGGCTAAACCAGGAGAATCAGGCGCTGCTGTCCGAGCTGAAGAAGAAACTTTCCAGTGCAAGCTCTAATTCTACAACAAATACTGTCAAATCAAACGAGACCTAATATTCGTTGGTGCCAGAAATCTAGTAACCAGCCCCTCTTTTTTCTGTGCGCGCTTAGTGTGGGGTATACCTAGTTACATGGCCAAGCTCTTGCAAATCGTTATTTTGGAGGTAAAAATGAGCTTATGAAGAATAGAAATATTTTATGAGTAATAAATGAAATCATAAGGTCTCTCTTTTATACCAAACTAGTCTTCTACAGTAAGCCTGCAAACAACTCAATCCACCTCCAGCTTCTTGTCTATGCTTGAAAAGTTCTGATAGAATGCTTTGAAATACTTGTAGGCAATGTCTACATCTTCTTTTGCACATATCTCTCTCACACTGCAGTAGAAACAAGAGAGACGAATAGACAAGAATAAACTATAAGTAAAAAAGTACCCAACATAAGCACCATTGTCTTGTTGAGTAGCTCAATGAAATGCAGGTGTTCATAAAATGTAATGAACTTCATGCGTTATTAGAGAATTAGTACGATACCTGTGCATTGAAAGTTGAGGAATGCCACAATCAACTGTGCGGATGCCAGCACCTGAAGCAAGTATAGGACCAATGGTGGATCCACATCCCATATCATTTCTCACCACAAATTCCTGCAAGTTACCAGTAGTATGTTAGGCAAATCAACTTCATGCAGAGAGTCCAAGGTGAGGACTATAACCAGAAAGTCAAAAGGAAAATAAGAAGTCCATAATATGAAATCATGGAATAGTAGCACAATTAACCGAGGCTACTATGCTAAAGGTTGTCTTGCAGACTACCACTTACTATGGACCAGTCACTTGGTTCGGCAAAGATTCACAATTCAAAAGAAAAATAAAAAAAACCAGACCTATCCTGCTTTACAACAGATTTGAAGTGACAAACAAAACCCCTTTTATGACAGTTTTCAGATTTTATAACTAGATTCCAAAAGATTGAGTTCCATTGTTAAAAGTTAATTAAATCCGAGCATTCTTTTCTTTCTATCACTTTCGTCTCCTTTTAGCCGTCCAGCATTTCTAGTCAAGCCTGATTGAACACATCTTAACCTCTCTTTCAAGCCCCAACACAAATAGGAGGATAAACCTCTTTCCAACCAACCAAATGGTATCTGACACTTCCCTATGCCATCCCGGAACAAAGATTTTTGTTTCTTAAGCAACTAGGAAGGCGAAATCTCTATTCATAATATTGAAATAATGACTTTTGGTGTTAACCAAAATTGACAATTTGATGCCTTCCCTCGGCCTGACATTCCATTCAGTTCACCTGTGCTCAAGTATTTAAAAATCATTGAATCCCTACAGTGCTAACAAAAAGTACAGGTGACAAAATTGCTTCTCCTTGCTGACAATTAAATATCAACTTTTCTAGCGTTCAGCATGCTCATATATTGACCATAACATGAAACTGCTTTATAGAGTAGACAAAGGGTTGGATTGCCTTATTTAATAGGCAATTACCTGAGATGGAAGGTTATGGATTTTGCCAACTTCTTTGAAAAGAAATGCTGTGACTCCACTGGTAGCATACCGCTGATTTGCATTGTGCTTGATAACAAGTCCCTTTTGCATTTCAGGCCGGTGGTGTTCTTCATGCTTTTCCATAAAATTTGGGTGTACTCCATGAGCCATGTCAGCAGATACTACAGAGAGAAGATTCCAAAAGAATTTTAAAAATTTCTGTCAACATAACTGATTGCAGAAAAGAAATACTAGAAACTAATAAGAATTTAATCAATTCAGAAACTGCCAAATGAATTGTACCAAGAAATGACCGCCGAATAGCACGCTCAATAGCCCCTTCATTAACATTATTACGAGCCAAGCACCCAGCAATTTGTTTCATAGCCTGAAACATGGTCGGTGCACCAGCTCCCTGAACTGAACCTGAACCCACCTAAACATCAATAGTTAGGAATAACATTTGTGAATCGGCATGAATTGTAAAAGGAATGAGCTTGGAAACTGCCATAGAACATGTAACAGTGGACTCCACTACTTTCTTCCTACCAATAATAAAGAGACTCTTGATGCTTATTGACAATAATCCAAATGCCTTCCACCGAGTGTCAATAGAAATAGACTTCATGGAAGATAGTTTTAGCTCTTCACCATAAGAAACTGTGTCATCACAACTATTTCCTAATTAGCAAGTAAAAGTCCATTAGCTAGCCAATGACAGCTCATTTCAGCTCCTATCAATCCACAGGCATACAGGGAAGAAATAAATCTCTGTGTTGTGTCACAGGCTGTCTGACAAGAATTACCTCTTCATTATCAAACAAAGCAATCATCCGAACTGCAGTGTCATTTGATAAATCACTGAATGATTCACATGAATCAATAAGAGCTCTTAATGCACAATAACTTGAAGCAAGGTTGTCTAGCCTTCCAGAAAAAATGAACTCATTGTTTCCACCTCCAAGGCAGCTGGGCTGAGTATCACAAACATTCAACTCTATACTCACTATGTCGTCAATGCTGCAACTCAGCTCATCTGATAAAACCTGAATTAAAATAATTGATAAACTTGATGAAAAGTGCTGAAATCAGCTCATGCAGTTGACGCAACATCATACAGCACCAGCTCATTTGATTGGTTCATCATTATACAGAATCAGCTCTCATTCAACTGGTAATCATTATGATCTTGAATTAAAGTTAGATGATAAAAAACCAGCACACCTGCTATTTGGCAGATTGACACATGAAATTTTGCAAAAGAGGAGATGGACAGTCTTATTAGCTGACCCATGAAAGTTTTAACACCCCCCCCCCCCCCAAAAAAAAAAAAAAACAATAGTAGTGCCATGCTGCAATTTTTTATTTTTCATTTATTACAGCACTAACTAGAATCTAAAGTTTCTTTCTTATTACATGCTGTGGATTCTGCTTTTAATTATCAAGGCCTCATCTCGTTATGGCTGCATGGAAAAAAATCTACAGAAATGTTAAATCCCTGATCCACACTCCACGTACTGCCATGCTTTTTATGAACACCTACATTATCTACCTAGGAGATACATTAGATTTGTTAACAAATGACTAGCAAAACAAAAGGAGATACCTGCATCAGAAGCGGATGATGAACAGCTTTTGAAGATTCAGTATTTTTCTCTTTCGCCTCTGAAGAACCTTCTTCAGATTTTGTTGCAAGTAGTGGAATAAGGTGAGTCTCTAAGTTCGGTTTAAAACCATCCTTATTTACTGTGCTGAACAATCCAAGACAAAAAAGAAAGCTGATGAATGATTTACAGCTATACACTAAATTCAAAACGGAAAGAACATGGCTTCAGAACAGAAAAACTACACAATTTCTACCATGAGATAAAATTTGAACACACAAGAAATAAAATTGAGTGAGAGAGCAGGAAGTGGTACCCACCGGTCAAGATGAATGGCGAGTGTTGGTATTCTTAACAAAGGTCTTTTTATTTTAACAAGCTTGTGCAGAAATGAACCATCACTACCTCTCACGATGACCCTTCCTGCAACACTCAAATCCCTATCAAACCAAGTATGCCATAAACCACCTCCATAAGTCTGCACATTAACCATTAGATAACTAGATTTGGACGACGCAGATCTCGGTTTGAGTTTCAAGCACGGACTATCTGTATGTGCAGCTATTACATGAAACCCATTTCCAACACTATACCTGCAAAATTAACAAGACCTTTTAATCATCCACCTGCCAGTAATCCACACACAATTCAACCAACGAGCAAAATAACACAAATCAATCACTTCCCTTTTCACAGAATATCAACTGATATCACTAGTTCCAATAAACAAAACAATTCAAATTCCAATTTCAATGACATTGCTAATATAATCAAAATACAATGCAATCTTTTTCGACTCACTTCTCACCAATAGCAAAAGCAACCAAACAAGACATGTTTCTTGTGAAAAAATATCGTCCGCCAGGCTTTAATTCCCATTCTTCATGCTCATTTAGCAAGTCAAATCCAGCATCAATCAATTGCCTCTTCGCTTCCGCTGCCGAATAAATAACAAAAAAAATAAAAATCAAAGCACCAATCAAAAAGCTCATTTATCAACTCACCAACTTAATAATAAAAAAAATATTTAGCAAATAATTTAGATTTAATTAATCATATCATACTTACCTGGTTATATAACAATTAAAAAATCATACTATTAATAATAATATAAATGCATAAAAATCAATCAAAACCTTTAATAAATTAAAAAATTTAATTAACAACAAAAAATTTACTTTAATTAATCAAATTAAAACAGTAATTACCTGTAGCGTGAAACTGAGTCCATGATTCATTGAGATAATCCAGTAAATCTCCAACAATCGATCCATTCTAATCAAACAGGACAACACGCGTATGAATGACACAAAAACACACTACAAATACACCAAGAAGTATAAATACATATAAATAAGGTGACGTGTACGTATACTATACCTCTAGTGTTCGACCTGGATTGGAAGTGGAGCAGCAGAGAGTGGTGTGGAATTTGCGAGAGCGATGGTGGTAGTGGTTATGAATTGGCGGAATTTTTGAGAGAAATGCGGAGGACCGTTTGATTATTTTTATCGGTGATGGTAACGATGATAGTATTTGCAAGCGAGTTATCGACGCAGCTGCCATTCTTTTTCTTGTTGATTGAAGATACCAGCAAGCTATTAGAGTGCGAGTGAGAGCGCGTGTCGGTTTATTTTATCTGATGCTTGCAACGACAGGTTTTGAAGGATTATGTATATTCTAGACCTTATAAATTTATAATGTAACATTTCGGTCCCTTCAGTTTCAATTGTCTCATATTAAATCAAAATATAAATTGACCTTTAAAAAATAATGAAACACACGTTTTTCTCCTATCAGCACAGTATATAACGCTTATGGGACCACAAAAATCGTATCAGGATCTCCACACGTGTATATATATATATATATATATATATGGTTTAAAAAAATCTTATATTTGAAATTACCGTGAATATTAATAATTAATTTTTAAATGAATTTTAATATCTAAAAATACTATAAAAATAAATTAGATATCAACTAATTTGATTTACAATTTCAATGAGAATAAATTTAATATTAAAATTGATTTAAAAAAATACTAGTTTAGCTTCTTCTTTTCTTGCAAACCTTTAAATAAATAAGATAAAAATAATAAATAAAATAAAATAAATTTTATTGAATTCAACTTATTTATAATTAAATTTAAATTAAATACTATAAATAAATTTAATCACGGTCAGGAGCTAACAACGTGTAAAATCCTCGCGACAAACATGCCCCATAAACAATGCCATTTCAAAAATCGCCAACTTCATTTCCACACGCATTCCCTCACTCTCTTCTTGCTTGTCTAGAGAGAAGAGAGTTACCGTTTCAGTTCGCTGTCGATGGCGGGAAGGATCCAAACCATGATTCTCACTCCTCGACCCACGCAAACACCGTCGTTCCGCCACCGGCTAAATTTCCCGGAAATTCGCACCACCGCGTACTCTACTCGCTCGGTTTTATTCAATCGTAGCCGCTCGATCTCATGTCCACTCAGAATCAGAGCTAATCAACGGCCCGATCAGGTTTTGCTTTCTTCATTCCACTCTTCTAACCTAATTGAAGAAATTTTGAAGTCTCATATATTATTTTTTTAAATGAAAATTATTTTATTTTAGATAGACGACAATGGGAGTGGAGGTGCAAAAACTCTAGGAAAATCACTACTGAATTTTGCAGAGAATAATTTTCTTCCACTAGGTAATTATATGTTTAGTTTTCTATTTCCTTTTATCTTTTTTGATGATTTATATATTTATATAATTCAATTTATTTTGTGTGGTTTTATTTCTGCAGCACTTATTGGTGGAGTAGTGTCAGGGCTTGCAAATCCTACTCTTGGTTGCTTAGCTGATAAATATTATCTGTCGAAATTTAGCACATTTACGATATTTATAATCTCTGGTAATTAAATCAAAATGTTCTGCTTGTGCTTCGTTTGTTATATACTGTTGTGCCAATATAGGTTTATTTATGCATTGGGTAACAATACAGGTTTGACGTTGAGAAATGGGGAGATCGGTGATGCCATAGAAGCGTGGCCTGTTGGAGTTCTTGGGATTGTATGACCTTGAATTTCTTTGTGCCATTATGCATTTTGTAGGTCCAGTATACAGTAATTTGTTTTCTTTATTAATATGGTTTCTGCGTCATCACAAACTGTGACTGTTACCTTCATTTGTGTTACATCGATCCTTGCTAGCATGCTCTAATCTCCTGATAATCTTTGAATGCAGTGCTCCATTTTGTTATTTACACCATTCTTGTCGAAGATAATTTTGCAAATTCAACTCCAACCTCAGGAGTTTGTAACAGGTATGTGTGTGTTTATCATTGTGGATCTTTAATGTATGGATTTTTTATTTTTTATTTTTAGGTTAGTTATTGATTGTTCAATATTGATAATTTTTTCATACAGGTTTGGCTATATTTTGCTGTATGCCAACTACATTATCAAGTGGGGTGGCTCTAACCCAGGTACATTGATTGCTTTGTTTTTTTCTCAACAATCTTCTGCTTATAAATGGAGTTTTTATGATGCATAGCAGTCTTTGATATGCAGCTTGCTGGGGGGAATTCTGCACTTGCTCTTGCGATGACTGTGGTGTCGAATCTGCTAGGAATTTTGATTGTAAGTTCCCACAAAGAAGATCCACACTTGTTGTTATTCTAATGCGAATTTGGCTGGGCAACTAGATATCAATTGGAACTGTTCATGATGTAATTTTAATTTCGCTAGATATGCAAACTCCCAACACCCCCCCCCCAAAAAAAAAAAAAAAAGGACATAAAGAGAGACCAAACTAACAGTTGTGTCCTTTTCTCTTCAGTGAATCTGTCATATCAGATGCTTTTCACTCGGTTTTCCTAGCCAGCACTGAATATGATTTTTACTACTTCTCAGGTTCCATTTTCTATCTCCAGATTCATTGCTGCTGGAATTGGTGTATCTGTGCCAACCAAGGAATTGTTTAGAATTCTGGTTATCACACTTTTAATCCCTCTTATTTTGGGGAAGGTAAATTTCTTGATTGTGTTTGTGGATCCCTCAAACTATAACTTACGTGCCATTTAAGATTTAGTGAAATATGCGAGAGTGAAATGTGTATCCTGTGCTGTTCATTCTACAGGTTTTTCGAGAATCCTTCAAAGGTGAGTGTCGCACAGTCTGGAATTCTTTTTAGAAGTTTTCTGGCATGTTTTTGCATCATATTTAATCTATATCTAACATGCATAAAAATTTAGGGTGGCGAATTTTGGCGCGTTGAAAATGCAATTGATAAGAATCTATGTTTGTATCATCTATTTGGAGCTGGTGACTTTTAAAGTAACTTTGTAGTTCCTTTGAAGACTACATAATTTAATCTCTGATTAAATGTGCATTTCAGGTTTGCCAGACTATGTCGATCAAAATCGTAAGCTTTTCTCAAAGATGAATGCAATTTTCCTTAGTTTAGTAAGTTCTTTTATTTCATCTGTGTAGATATTTCCTGGGTGAAATTTAGGGAGTATATTTTTCATTTATACAAAAAACACTGCCAAGTTTACCGGATAGCATAGGACTCAAACAAACTGAGCTGAAGATTTAAAAATTCAGAGTCGTTGAAGAGAAGAGATGCAAGACTGTTGGCCTCATCCTGGACTCTGTTTCAGAGTTGTGACTTTTCCATAGATAGGTTCTACATGGTACATCATTATTGGCGATGACCATTTACCAATGCAGCATGTAGATCCCTTGTTCCTTTTGAGCAAATGTCTTGTCAATTGATTGATTTTTCTACAACATTTTGGAGTAGGATGTCCAGACAGATTTCTGATGGCTCCATCACACGTATTTGTTTCTGGAATTTTCTTGTACCATGACTAATATTAGCACTTAAAACCTGTGAATAGCATGTCTAAGTAGGAGATCAAACATCCACCATTTACCAGAGAAACCTACCGATCCATTCGCTACTGTTCTTTTTTTATCAAAGATAAAGGTAATTGGACATCCTTCCTAGTGGGGTCTGGGAATTCATGAGGAGTGTAGCGTTGATGCTTGAATTGGGTGGAAAATGTGGGAAAGTTGTGATCTCAATTGAAAGTGGAGAACTCTGTGTGGAACTTTGTTTAAGTTTTTGCAGTGGTAAAATGCTAGCTGTTTCCAAGTTGGAATATTGTTCTGCATGTTGGAATTTAAGAGAATTCACATTATTTTTTTCCATGTCTATTTATGCCATGCAAATTCTTAATGGAATGTAATGCATTAGTTTTCGGAAAAGTAATGAAGATAGTTCTCTTTGTTTCTTTTCTTTTAGAGAAAAAAAAATTCAGCATCTATTCCCAAGGTTTCTCTGTGAAACTGGTTACATGTGAAATGCAAATCTCAAGCTTCAATGTTACACAAATGTAAATCAGTTTTCATGAAGCTTCTTATTGAAGCAGATTGTAACATTCTGTTGCAGATTTCCTTAAGAAGTGGCATTGGTCCTATTGGATTTTAAAACTGTTTTTGTTTATTCAGGCTCCATTTATACAAGTGAGCAGGTCAAGGTCTATGCTTCTAATGGTCAAGCCTCCTGTTTTTCTTGTTGCTGTTGGGATGGGAGTGTACGTTTTCAGCCTTACTTTTCTTTTCCTTTTGTGCAATGTTTAGTTGTCACGCCACTCTTATTAATGCTGAATGATAGGTTTACTTTGCAAGTTGAGCCACCTCTCATACTTGTCTTTAGGGCCACTTTACATGGACTTTAGGCAGCGACCTCTATTTTCCATACTTGCACTATTGAGAAGAGCAAGGGACCCCCAAGTCTTTTGAATCTCCCTAATGTTGTTTAGGTTTTAATTACCTGAACATCAGAATACAAATTTATAAGTGCCATTTTTCAACTGTAAATGTGATCATTTCTACAGTGTAGGTTAAAGGACTAGTACATGGTATGTGTACCTTCCATTCACAATTTGTAGTTGCTGATAATTTTAGGGCTTCAATGTAGAACATCATCTGAAAAAAAAAAAAACTATTTCCTTGTGTTTGCAGACTTTTGCATCTCATCCTCTTATCTTTTAATGTTCTCGCAATACAAGGCTTCTCAACAGTCTGTGGTACCAACCAGTTAGCCTCTGCCAAGAAAAAAAATGCAACTGCTTACGTGCTTGTTGCAAGCCAGGTGACATTATTATGCTTTCAGCATTTTCAGTTGGATTTTCAATGAGAATATACTCTCTTTTTTTAAAAAAAGAAATTGAACTTTTTTCTTTACTCTCCAAATATTCATGGATTTTGTTCTTTATGAAGCAGTTTATTTTGCATTAACATTATGCCTATGAGGTGGGGTGGGTGGGCGTCTCTTGTAGAAATCATTTTTGACTGGCATTGTAATTAATCTGTTACACTACTGAACACCGAGGCTTGGTCTGTTTTGATGCTTGTCTAGAAAACTCTTCCTGTTATGGTAGCAGTGGTGGAACAGCTGGGTGGTGCATTCGGTGCATCTGGTTTGCTGGTTCTTCCTTGTGTTGCCGCACATTTAAATCAGGTTTTTCTTGTTCGAGCCTAATTTATCTTGCTTTCTAAACCCCTTGATATCCTAACACACGAAATTTTATGTAGATCATCATGGACTCCTTTCTTGTTAATTTCTGGCTTCGGAAGGATCTCGCATCAGA